CAGAGGGCACAGCTGGGGGTGGGGTGCATGTCCATGGTGAGGGCAGGTCCAGGTTCATCTGCCCCCTGTGCCCCTCAGCCGGAGTGAGGAATGCAGCAAACTGTGAAATTTCCCCTTGCCCCGGTGAAGGGGAACAGCCATCAATGTTTCCGTACAAATGTGGGGGGAAGTTTAACTACTTGCTTAGAACATTAGACTCTCAAGTATTGAGGATACCCAGGGGCTGATTCTCAGTCAGTTAGGGCATCTCTGTGATGTGTCATAACTCAAAACGGACCTTTAAGCCTGTGGATTTGGCAAATGGAGGACTATCCCATGTACAGGAATCCTCTAGTGTCTCCATCTTCTTAGCATGAGGCCAATGTTTAGGAGAAAGAAGAACATGATAGGTATGCGGTGGCAATCCTCAATTCACTTAAGAGCACTTTAGGGATTTTGACAGTTGGTAGAACAGTTCTGAAGCTATTCTGATAGATGCTGGAAGTCCAGTCTGGCACAGAACCAAACTTAATAGACCCAAAAAGGCTCTTTTATACATGCTCCCCATGCCGTCCTAGCTCTTCCTTGGGCCCACTGAAAATCTGGATTAGAATATTTTATGTGGTATAATTGTACCAATTCAGCTCTGTTATACTGGTATTACTTGGAAGTAGCTCCATTGAAATCTGAGATAGTCCCAGCAAAAAATTGGCATGTGATTCAGGCATACAATGTTCTGTCAGCTATTAAATACGCTAACTTGGAATCCTTCTCTGATAGTAATATAATGATATTTCCCACTCTACCCCAATCAAAGATACATCTTTATGGTTGGATTCCTATGGTTGGGTCTCAAGATTCATGCCTACAGTGGTCAGGTATGCTCTGCTGCTCTTTAAAAATGTAATGTTAACTGCTTCTCCATGACGCTGTGATCATGTACCTTAGGGAAACATAATGGATGTCAATGCTATTAATCATCAACTTCTTTTGTTACCATGTGACAAATAAGAAAGCTTGTGGTGAGTATTGCATCATTATTTTTCCTGTTGGTAAAGTAAATGATAAAATCTGGATTAACTGCAATGTACTTGAAAGGCAAAAAGCATTATCTTAGAGCTGCTATTTTATTTATACTCAGTCATAAATGCATACAGAGTAATACAAATTTACCCAAGATCCTCTTTCAAAAAGGCTTTCAGTCCAAAGTCTATTGAGCCTTGTGTATGCTAGAGAATTTACCATGACCTTGATACAATAAAGAGCTTAATTCTGCATGTAATTTTAAACATGTGACTAATCAATGATGGTTACGCCCATATTGAAATGCTTTAATAGTTCAAGGCCTATACTAGGAAAAGTGTGCCCTCCTGCATACCAACCCTCTGTTCTGCTACTACAATTGGTCATCATGAAATGCTTCAGATGATTTACATGCATCTGGTTTAGATTGGTTTCAGTAGAATTAAATAGTGGTGTAGTCTGAACTGTCAGAGTCCTCTCTGTGCCAGCACCTTTTTAGACTGTACAAATTTAATTTCTGTCCTATGATGTGCTGGTGTCTTTTCAAAACCTCCTGGAGCCCACATTTTGAGTTTGAGAGCTGTGCCAGGCACTGTGGGACCAGTATTCTGAGGGCATTGAACAGCACTAGTATCAGCCACGCAAAGCTGCTCCAGCAGTTCTAAACACAAATCAACATGGCTGCACCGTTTATGCTTAATCCAGTGCAATACAAATTGTTCAGCTGGGAAGAGTTCTGTTTTAGTAGTATAGAAAAGCTTATTAGACACTGCAGAACAATCAAAAATTGAACAAATACAAATTGGAGTGCCAAAGAATATAATTTTCATAACTGGACTGCTTTGTGGAATGTGAACATTAAAAGTTGTGTGGGTTTTATTTTTTAAGATAATGAGGATAGTAGCTGTGGGTATGTCTACACTACCCCGCTAGTTCGAACTAGCGGGGTAGTGTAGACATACCCCACTTGCAAATGAAGCCTGGGATTTGAATTTCCTGGGCTTCATTTGCATAAGCCGGGCACTGCCATTTTTAAATCCCGGCTGGTTCGAACCCCGTGCCGCGTGTAGCCGCGCGGCACAGGGTTCAAACCAGCCGGGATTTAAAAATGGCGGCGCCCGGCTTATGCAAATGAAGCCCGGGAAATTCAAATCCCGGGCTTCATTTGCAAGTGCGGTATGCCTACATTACCCTCCTAGTTCGAACTAGGAGGGTAGTGTAGACATACCCTTTCATGGCTACCACTTAGCTCTTTTTAAGGGTTAGCTTTTTAGTTACAAAAAGTTCTAGTTGTTTTGTTTGTTTTGAGGAATTTCCTTTTGAGACACTTAAGGATGTATTTGCATACTCTGTACTTTATTGTCTGTATAGTTTTCTTTCTCTTTCATGGTTCTTATTTTTAGTTTATGTAACCCTTCTGCCAGGTAGATCCAGCAGCAGCCAGGCAGGATTCAATATCTAGGAGTTACTTTCCATCAATCCAATACAGAACCAGTTTGAACCCCTACTCAGTAACGTGGGAAACTCATACACTACCCCTAAGTGCCTCTGAGAAGCAGTACTTCCCCACTCACAAGCACAGAGTCTGAGTGCAGAAAACATTTTTATTAAAAGAAGGGAGGTAACTTGGCATTATTTTAGGAAAACACAAACAGGATTCATAAACCTAAATCAAGAGTAAAAAACCCACCCTGTGTATGTTGGGCAGTATCCTTTTCCCTTCAGGTTCTTGTATCCAGCAACCCAAAAGTCCCCTTTATGTGCCCAATGTTTCTCTTCACCCTGCTCAAAGTTTGGTAAGTGTAAACCCAAAGTTCAGAGGTCATCTGCAGAGTTTACCTCCCTCCACCCAGAGTGGGAGGTGAAGAAGCATTAAACTCGCTCCACTAAATACTTGCCATCTATCTGCTCATTGCTCTCCACTGCTGCGCTGCTAGCCTTTCATCACACCTCTTTGCCACTGCACTGCTGGCTGTCAGTCATTATCCACTGCCATCCATCTCTTAGCTGTAATCTCTGACCATCAGTTTCTTAGTAATTTTCACTTCTTCTGCAGGCTGGACAGAAACTCTGCCCTAGACATTTCAGCTCCCAGTGACTTTAACTCTTAGCTGGCAGGGCAAAAACACAGCTCTAACGCAATTAATATAAGAAGCTTATTTGGCTCTGTTCTTTGGACAATGGTGGTGAGTTGGGTGAGAACAGGTCATACTGGTCCTGGCAGTACCCCTGGGAAGGATGTGAAGCCTCTTGACTAGAATACTTGCCCCCACCCTTCTTACTCTCACAAGGCTGTGACAGTCAAGTCCCTAGTTAGCAAGCTCCTTTTTGTTGAATGTGAACTTTTTCATTTGGAACAGATTAAGCTGTGCTGCTTTTCTGTATTCCCATAATAAATAAAAACACTGATGACCACAATCTATGAGAAAGTAAAATATGATTAATATAATATATTTTAAGACTAGGAAGGAAGAGTTTCATGAAAAAAAAAACCCTAATCAGTTGGGGTGGTAGGCTTGTAGAAATTTTAGTGGTGCTCAGAATGCCCAGAACCTGCGTCTCTCCTCCATCCAAACTCCCTCCCCTTCACACCTGCACAAGACTCTTGGAGGGAATTTGGGGGAGAAGGTCTGGAATGAGGCTCTGGGATGGAGTTTGGTTGCAGGAGAGAGTTTGGTGTGTATGTACTTCAAGGGATCTTGGATGCTGGGTGCAGGCTCTGAACTGGGGCAGGGAACTGGGGTAGAGGAGAAGATCCCTCTAGGAGGGAGTTTGGGTGCAGCAGAGATGTGGGGTTGGGCTCTGGGAAAGAGCGTGAGTGCAAGAAGGGGTGAGAAGTTGGACTCTGGAAGGGAATGTGCGTTGGCAGAGGGTCTGGCGTTCAGGCTCTGGGATTAAGTCTGGGTATTGAGTGCAAGCTCCGGATTGGGCAAGAGGTAGGGGATCCAGGAGGATGCAGGGTGCAGGCTCTGGATGGGAATTTGGAGTTGAGAGGGGCGTGGGGGAGGGGATGCTGGCTCTGGGATGGGAGGGTTTGTGGGCAGAGGGGGTTCAGCACTTATTTAGGACATCCTCTTATGGGGTAAATCAGGGAGAGTCTCTGTGTGCTGCTGCCTGCAGGCAATGCCTCTGCAGTTTGCCATTGGCCGCAGGGACACTCAGGACAGGGGGCAGAATGTGGACACACACACACACACAGGCTAGAGAGATGTATTGGAAGCCAAGTGAAGCAAGAGGGCAGGAAGCTGCTCTAGCCCTGCTATACTGCCAGCGGTGGCGATGGGGACTCCCAGACCCTTTTAAATCACCTAGGGGCAGCAGGTGAGGCCAGAGGGATGTGCTGGGGAAGTGTGAAGGGGCAGTAGGTGGAGTTGGGGAAGAGGCAGGCTCTGGGAGGGGGTGTGGGGTGGCAGTGGGTGTGGGGGAAGAGAGTGAGGGGTGCAGTGCTTACCTGGGGCACTCCTTTCTGGGCAGGAGATGGGGGTTTCCACACGCTGCTGCCCATAGGCACAGTCCCCAAACTTTGTTGGTGCAGGGCCCTGGGCCAGGAATATTCCTGGTGCCTGGGGGAACCATGGGCCCATAGAACTTGTGGTCTATGGTCCTTATCTTTATCTCCTACTTAAGCTATTATCCTGTCATCTCATATTCCTTCTATCTGTCCAAAAATCATCCTCTTTTCATGTCACTGGGACTGTGCCATCTTCCACTTCAATTTCTTCTACTGCCTTCCGCTTATCCTAAAGTATTTTGTTCAGAATTCTTGTCCTCGCTTTCAAGGTTCTGTTATAACTCCGGTCTTCTAAATCCTGTCTTTATTTCTTATCATTCTATCCCCTCCTTCACTCCTCCAGTAAACCTTGAATCAACTCTTTTCTTTTCAGTTTTCACTGTCCTCTTAATTCTCTTTCCATGTTATCCCTCATTCCTGAACTCCCTCCATATCCTAGTACATGGTTAATCCCTCTCTGAAGAAACCGTTTACATTTTCATTGCAGGAAATGGCTTAGACACGTACCAAAGCCAGTTTTTGGAACTTCATCAAAGACTGTTATATGCTGAAAAAGAAAATAAAAAAAGATCTCGTGAGTTGAGCATTGTCTTGGATGCAATTAAGCTGGTAGTTGCAGAGAGACTGAACTCTACAGCAAATCATACAGGTTTGTGCTCAGAAATTTTTTTCTCCCTAAAGAGATTAAATTATTATATACTCAGGGCCCAATTCTGCTTTCACTAATGTTAGAAGACACAAATCTATTGACTTTGCTGATGGCTGCATTCGTCCCTTATATGTTAAAAAAGAGAGTGAGAGAGAACTTTTAGTACTATTCTTTAAGTAGGTTCTCATCAGTGTTCCCTCTAATTTTTGCCATTCATGTGCAGAATAAACTTTGTTATATGCACACAGCATATGTAGATGTGGACTACATATAGAAACATGCTGTTTGCTGTGGGTACTAGGAGCACTGTGGGCATTCTGCTAATCAGCTGGGCAGTATTTGAATCTTTTCTGAGTGGCTGCCCAAGTGCTAAGCTTATAGGGAACACAGATCCTAATAATATTTACTTAATGCATGACAATTTATGTGATTAGTTGCTTGGAATCTGACAGAATTAAGTATATTTTTCTAACAGTTTTCCTCTTTTATTTGTCCTGTGAAAAGTCCTTGTTACCTTCCTCCCCAAGCCCAATTTCAAAAGACGGGACATTTTTTAAAACCATGAAATATTTCTCCCTTTTTCATCCCTCTTTGCTTATAAGAAGCAGACTAGAACTCCTTTAAGTACTGAAGGTCTTTCTCTTTTGTCTTCACCTTTACACATGTGCAGTACATTTTTAAAACTGGACAACAATTTTTACTACAAATAATTCCAATACAGATAATCAGATGCTGTTGACCTGATTTTCCCTTGTAATTTAATTAGAACTTTTGTTCACTTGTTTTAAAAAAGACATATTGCTTCAGTGGCTACTGCGCATACTCAGGATGATCTACTTCCCACTCTAGTGGCTGCAGTATGATGGATTAGGTAATTAGACTCTATCTGAGTTTAGGATTAGCTGTGTGATGCTGCTGCTTTGAAATGCCAAGGCAGTGTTTCAAAGTGGCAGTGTTGTGTGGAGCCTGGGGTCAGCTGAGGACTCCAGCTGATCCCAGTTTCCGTGCGGCATTTCCGCGGAACTCGGGATCAGCTGACTGCGTGACATTTCAAATCTACATCACAACATTGAGCCTCTGAGTTTCCCGCTGATCCCAGGCTCTATGAGAGCACTTATGCACAAGAGGCCCCGCTGGGGACTCTTGTACATTTCAAAGCTGGCATGCCCGCGTGCAGCCTGGAGTCAGCAGGACTTCTCCCTGGCCCTGGGCTGCACACAGTGTTCTGCATTCGTCCTTTGAAATGAAAGCCCCCAGTGGGGGCTCTTGTACATTTCAAAGGAGGAATGTGGAAGTGCTTATCGATTAGTCAAGTAGTCGATGGAATTTCCATTGACTGCTTGACTAGTAAATTAATCGCTACTTAACATCCTTAGTTCTGTCATCTGTCACCACTCAGAATAGCCTAGTTTCATCTTCTTGGAATCTTCCCCCTCCCCTCCCCTCCCACACACACATACAAATAAGAGTCTTCTGAAAAGAAAGTGCTGAGCAAGCACTGGATCTGCTGGACACTTTATAATAGCAGTATGATCACCGCACCAGAGCACATTTGAGCTGCTTTGATAGGTATCACTGAGGGAAAACTTTCCAGTGATTGTGCTTAGGGTGCACACATGCCTGTAGTAGGATGGACATGTGAAACGTACCTCAAAGAACAGCAGTTACAAAAAGATTGTAATATTTTTGCTTTGCTTTAAGATGCCTAGGGGTTTGCCATTGGATGTTGGACAACATTTCTTCTGAACTAATAAGCCTGTGATGGCGCTAGAAGCTATGAAGTTGAGACTTTTCATAGCTCAAAAAATGAGGCTTACAGGATCTGTTGAAAAAGGGTTTATTTTCGACAGATCCACGTCTAGACTGCCTTTTTTTTTTAAAAAAGCTCCATTTCGGAAAAAGCGGCGTCCATGTTTATCCTAATGAAGCATGGGATATTTAAATCCCCGCTTCATTAGCAATTTCGATGTGCCTAATCTACATCTCTCTGTTGGCAGAGAAGTGTAGTCTAGACACAGCCACAGTGTCTGTGTAGGCACTGTATCCCTTACATTGACTGTCATGTCAATTTCATGGCTAGAGTATGAAATTGACAAGAAAGCCCTTGCTCCCCTGGAGAGCTAGGCAGCTGGACCTTGCTCTTGATTGGAAGAAAGGGTGAGACGTCCAAGTGGCTCCACGAACTCTTTGCCCAGTGAGCCATTAAGTTGACAAGGCTGCCCAGCTGCTAGTGGGGAGTGAGCAGGTAGAGGGGGCCAAGAAGATGGGACAGCTGGAGCCTGCACTCTGGTGACTGAGAAGCCCTGGATAGCTTCCACTGGCTCCAGGTGGAAGAGAAGGGAAAAGAGAGGAGGTGGGGGCAGCCTACCAGAAGCCCTAGAGAGTAGTGTGGACACGCACAACACAGTAAACAGTGGAAATAAGCCAATCTACTTTAGGTCGACTTAGGTTTGTAGCATAGACATATCCACAGTGGTAATAATTACCGTGACTGAGAGTGTACATTGGTTAACTTCACAGGCAAATGGCCAGAGGACATTTTACTTGTACATTCAGTCATGATAATTATGTATATGAATTTGTGTGTACCTATTGCAAAAAAGCAGGTCCATAATCTTTAAGCATTTAAAAATCCTTTTGGATGAAAAGTGATGTATAAATGTAAGCCACTATAATTCTCTTAATATGGCATCTGTGGTTTCACAAGTATATAGCAAATATTTTTTGGTTTCAGGTATCCATTTTTTGAAATTCTACAGTGAAAGGAACTCACTGTGAGCCTCAGTGGGATTCATACCATGTTATATCTGCTTTTCAGGAAGTAGAAGCATAAAGAGTCTGTGCAATTATTGCATTATGATAGGAGATTCCCCCCTACCCCCTTTATGTGTGGCGGTGCTTGGAGAGGCATGTAGCTCCCATGGCAGGCTGCTCTGGGAAGCAGGTGGGACGGCTGAGGATCCCACTGGGCTGTGGGCCATATTTTGTCCACCCCGATCTAGATGGTTCTTGATCCTGCTGTGAACTCATGTAACTAAACTTGATGACCTCTTGGTCCCTTCCAATTCTAGTATTTTATGATTCTATGTTAGGCATGAGTCTGCTCATTCCTATTTTTATATTCTGACACATAGTTTTCCTTCCCTTTTGACTCTGTGCCATTGTTCCCTTCCCTTACTAACAACTAACGTTTATTATTATTTTTTAAATTACCTAGAAAGTCAGAATGGTAAAACAATCTCTCTGAAGATTAATCAAGCCACATTGTTACTATGTTTGACTTTGAATCTGCTTTTTCCATAACAGTACTTTTCAGAAACTTTTTGAATCAAAACAAGTTATGCATTTGTTCCGGTTTTTAGAGAAAAACTTTTAGCCCGTTTCAAATTAACACATAGGACCTGTTAAAAGGAAGAGTATGTTCGCAAATTAGAATAAAAGGTTTGGAACATTAAGCTCCTGTCAAAAAATGTTGGACCAAGATGCAGGGCTCAGTTCCATCAAGTTCATGTTTGGTGGAACTGCAGGAGGCAGGGAAGAGAAAGGTGACTAATTTATGACAAACTAGCAAGAGTGGCAAAGCGTGGGTATTCTGGCTTTATGATTTTGTGTTGGGGGTGTATAAACCTTGAACCAGCCAGGAAAGGGTTACAGGACTTTTGGGGGCTTTGTCAGCCCAGTACTGTACTGTAATGCCTAAAGCCGGTGTTGGACTTTGAAAGATGAACTAAAATATTTGCTGGTTGACTGGGAAGAACAGATTTTCAGCTTTCACTGTGACTGGGACTAGGGCCAGAAACTCAGGAATTGTTACCTATTAGAGCCCTTTCTCCCTCCCCTTTTGATTTGGAAGAGTTTATATACTGTTGTGTTTATTTTGGATTTTGGGTACTCTGGAAAGGAATGGAACTTTTATCTGACCTAGCCAGAGGGTTAGGTCACCTTAACCTGAAAGATGTTGGCAGCTGGGCCATTCTGCTGAGGTCAGGATGGAAACAGAAGCAGAGCCACTGTTGCACTACACCACACCATAAGAGGGCATATAGCCACAAATAGCTTAGTGCAACTTGGAGATTACCCTATACCAGCATATCTCCAGCATTTTTTTATGTGCTTTGCACAGACCCAGAAGTATGAAACGGCTGGGAGGAGAGCTGAGGATATGACCCCTTTAGTTTACTTAGTCCTTAGGTAAATCAGAGGAGTTTTGTTCTATTTCAGGCCTACATGTACTTATTTTCAATTATACATGTAGCTCCAGGGATAGGGAAGGAATGACCTAGGTAGAATTCCCCTGTGATGTACATAGGAGTATTCCCCCCCTTACCTTCAGTTTCTGCCTTACAGCTTGCAGGGCTGGAGTCAGAGCCAGCCCAAGCTGCAGGGCCGGGGAGGGGCGCCCCCGGGGCACTGCACCGTGCTGCCAGGCCAGCCGGAGGTGCTCCCAGGTGCCTCAAGGGCGCCGCACCATGCTGCCAGGAGGAGCGGGGGCACCCCCGGGTGCCTCAAGGGCACCATGCCGTGCTGCTGGGCCGGGCGGGGGCGCTCCCAGGCGCCTCAAGGGCACCACACCGTGCTGCTGTGCTGGGCGGGA